TTTAATTTATATTAATATGTATCACTTAAGAAAATTTTAATAAAGATATTTATCTTAATTATGAAAATATAGTAGCATGTTTTTTAATTTTTGGAACCTAACCCTCCTTTTCGTACTAGTTCTTTGTTTCGCATAACACGGCAATTTTTTGGAACGTAACTACTGTGTTATACGGGGGTTACCTGTACATCAATATCAGTATAAATACTTCAATTCTTCAACCAGATGTTAATGTCTAGGAAGTGCAGACAACTAGTGCTCCATTGTTCTAGTTTTTAAACCACGCCTATTGTTATTAATCACATTCAAAAACTCCTGAACTCTCTTGTTAATTTCTCCAAATTATAAGTACATCATCTACATAGAGAAAGTTGTCTTCTGTGAATAATCTGAGGTCCCAATGAGAAGTCCTATTTCAGGACTCTTATGCAAACTTTTACTTTGTAAACTCAAAAAAGATATCCTTCGATATTTCACAGATGACAACTTACTCTATAAAAGACACTTAATAATACAATTTTAGTGGCAAAGTCATTATAAAGTGGGATGAAGCGAACATCAAAACGGTACATTCTCCAAGCATAGCTACGAATATGGAAAAAATAGAGATTTACAAAAGGAACACGAGTGACATAAACATACTACCTTCAGCCTGGAAAAACATAATTGAAAGAAGATTTGGACATAAAAACACCTGAATCATGTGTCCACCTATAATCAAATTTGGTTTGTGTTATACTATCACAGTTTTTAGTATCTATTTTTCTTATTTGCAGATTTAATTGTATTTTGTTAATCTTGTATATTTTTTAAGTTTATTTTTATTTGTTGTTATCCTTATATTTTTCAAAAGTTATTTATTTAATTCGTTTCAATTTAAATTTGTATTTAGAATAAATACCTCATCAGTTAAAAATTTAAATGGAACGTTTTACTCGTGGAACATTTTCTACTGTTTTAATACGTAAGCAATGACGAGAAGGCGTATCTCGTGATATTCACTTCTCTCGGTAACATAGGAATGTACGTCTGTCAACAATACAATTCTATTATTTTACACATTATAACTTCGAAAACCTAAACCACAAATCACAAACGAAAATGTAATTAAAATGTTTTTAAGGAAGAAGAACTAAATCATATGTAAAACGCATTAAACATTAAACATTGTCATTATTATTGAAAAAAGAAACTAAATGATAACGTAAAAAAATTACCTTTATGCACGACTAAAAAGCTTATATTATAAATGAAGAATGTATTACGTAGCAAAATATTTATATACATGAATATAAATATGACAACTCAACAAGTTTCATAATAATAAAAAAACGAAACAAATCTGATTGCCGCGACGCCATTTTCAAATTTGAACAAATTTAACGTTAGAGCGCGGCACTAAAAATTATATGTAATTATAGTTATAGCCTACGAGATACAATGGATATAGAATTAATAATTGTATTTTTAAATTAAATTTATTTAATTATTTATAATCAAAGTTTGTCTTCGTTAATTATTTTCATGTATTCAATTCTATGAGAGAATTGTATATAAACGATAGGATTTAATTAATCTCGATATCTAAATACAGTATAGTACTTTCTATAGAGACGAACTATAAGTTAACGTTATTGAGAAAATTGAAATAGAGTTTATAAAATACTACATTATTAATATTATATTTTAGATTTCATTTTGAAAAAATTTAAGGTGCAAAATTCCCTTTCGTGTCAAATATGTTATACAATTTACTGATAGTAAAACACGCTTGATTTCTTATATACACATATATACATTGTCTTAAAATTAAAATTTGATTTCTTTCTAAAATGTAAGATTTATAAAAATAAAAACAAAATTAGCATTTGTCCGAAGAAATTATCAGGGTTTTATTTTTAAGACTCCTATATTTGGAGCGTTATAAAAATAACAAAAGAAATTATATATGACTTCCTGTTTTTGTGATAATTTATATTAATAATAGCGCAAGTTTCTGAGCAGTTTTAATTGACGAAATGTTAAATATATCAACTAAAAACACTTCTTAGAATATTAAGGAGTGTCGGACATCTATAAAATAGGTATAAAGACGGCGGGCGCGATAGTCGCCTGCTCACTTTGCCCTCTCATTGACAAGGCACGAAAGACGGCAAGATGGCACTGAACGTTGAAGAAAAGCAGCAGCGTCTTCTCCCTCTTTTTCAATACGTTCCTCTTTTAACAAAAGAGAAATTTAGTTTGAAAGTAGAGAGAGATGAACGTCTCGAAGGATTGGGAATTCTTGGACGTGGAGTTCTTTTCTCATACTTTCACAGAGATCATCTGGAAGAAGCGAGACACTTATTTGAAATCTTGATTTGTGAGTAGTATGTGTAAGACTTGAACTGGTTTTATATTAAGTTTATATATCTTTTATGTAGAATACAACATAGAAATAGATTAAAATCTCATTCTAAAATTAATAATTAATTTTTGTAGCTGCACCAACATTCGATGAATTTATGGATCTATGTCATCAAGCTCGTGACTTTGTCAATGAGGGACTTTACATTTATGCTGTGGCAGTGGCTATACTCCATCGTAACGACTGTAGACACGTTACTCTTCCTCCAGTCCAAGAAATTTTTCCAGAAAAATTTGTGCCAATAGAAACTCTTCTCAAGGCGTATAAATTGGCAGCCATGCACGATGACAAAGAAGTATTAATTAATTAATTAATTAATTTTTTTCTTGTTCTCAGTTATAAGTAAAATGACTATTTATAAATGTTTATATTTTTCTTTTCTTTTTTTAAGGAGGTAGTTGTAAAATCGGAAAAGACTGGCAATATATTAGATCCCGAATACAACCTTGCTTACTACCGTGAAGATATTGGTATCAATGCACATCATTGGCATTGGCATCTGGTATATCCTGCTACCTGGAGAGCGGAAGTGTTAGGAAGACGCAAAGATAGAAAAGGAGAATTATTTTACTATATGCACCAGCAAATGTGCGCTCGGTAAGTACTACGCACAATATCTAATATCTAATATAATAAAATGATATATTTTTCTGTATTAAATTTGATATTTTCTGTAGATATGATTGCGAGAGATTATCAAATGGATTACCTCGTATGATTCCATTCCATAATTTTCACGATCCTTTGGAAGGTTATTCTTCTCATCTCGCTTCTGTTGTTAATGGTCAACCATACGCTTCCAGACCTGAAGGAGTTGTTATGCAAGACATGAGAGAAGTGTCAGTCCAAGAAATGGAAAGATGGAGAGAAAGAATTTTCGATGCCATTCATTTAGGATCAGTTGTAGATAAACATGGAAAAGAAGTGTCTCTAGATGAGGACCATGGCATCGATGTTTTAGGAAATTTAGTGGAATCAAGCTATGATTCAATCAACGATGATTATTATGGTAGTTTACATAACTGGGGTCATGTGCTTATGGCTCGTGCTCAAGATCATGACGGAAGATATCAAGTAAATTAACATCATGTTTTATAACAATTTACTTTAATTTTGATAACTTAACTAAGATAAGATTAAAATTTACAGACAAATCCGGGTGTAATGAGTGATACTGCTACTTCTTTGAGGGATCCAATCTTTTACCGTTGGCACAGATTTATAGATGACATGTTCCAAGAATATAAAAAGACTTTGCCAAATTATAACAAACAACAGGTAATAAAATATTATTTTACGTTTTTTATTAGAAAAATTATACGACGTTACCATATATCCTAAATATAAATATTGATTTATTAGCTAGGATTTGTTGGTGTAGAAATTCAATCAGTAACTGTAAAAACAGAAAAAAATGTAAACACAATTCAAACCTTCTTCAAAGAGGACGCACTCGTAGTTTCTCATGGCCTTAACTTTAACAGAAGTGGAGCTGTAAAAGTAAATAAATTTTCCTGTTCTGCTTTATTCTGAGTAATGAATTTTAGTCCGAAATAAGTTCTTCAACAAATAATCTTCTTTTAAAAATTAGGTAACTTATGAGCACTTAGACCACGAACAATTCACTTACAAAATCAAGGTTTCTAACCAAGGAACCAAGACAAGACATGCTTACGTTCGAATCTTTTTGGCACCAAAGTTCGATGAACTTGGCAATGAAATAAAAGCTAACGAATTGAGAAGACTTATGGTAGAATTAGATAAATTCCCAACTGAATGTAAGTACTTGTTACGTATATTTATCAAAACGTAGAAAAATCGTTAAATTTCTATCTGTTGTTTTAATTTTTATTCTATTTACTACTTTAAATTAATTTTTCGCTTATTAACTAAGTAAATTTTTAAAATATATATTCTATGTGATATTAGAAAATAACATAAAACTCAATTTTTCTTTATTTGTAATTTTGAAATTCACCTTTATTTGTCAAAAAATTATTAACTCTTCTAAATATTAATTTTCATATAGAACCAAATTGTTTCAAAATGTTCTCTAATTGAAAATTTAATAATCAAACTCCGTTCATATTTTATATAAAATTAATATTTATTCAGTGGAACCAGGAATAAATACCATCGAACGCTCTTCACGAGATTCGAGTGTAACTGTTGATCAAGATTACACTTTCCGTAGTTTATTGGACGAAACAGAAGAACACCATACTGAATCATGTAACTGTGGTTGGCCTCAACATCTTTTAATCCCCAAAGGAAAAGACAAAGGAATGCCTTTCCATTTGTTTGTCATGTTAACAGATTTCACCCAAGATTTTGTAAGAGACATATCAAATATTTTCGATTCTTGTCATTGAGATAATGCAACTATACTAATATTTAAATTTTATTTTTAGGTTCCTGATCATGCACACAGATCTGGAACGTGTGCAGATGCAGTCAGCTATTGTGGACTTAAAGACGAATTGTATCCAGATAAACGCCCAATGGGTTTCCCATTCGATAGGGAAATTGAAGAAGAAGATTTGAAAGATTGGCTTCTTCCCAATATGTCTGCAACTGAAATAAGCATAATGTCCAATTCTCAGGAAGTCCATCATGAATAAAACTACAAAATTAAATTGATATATAAAATCAAATTGCACATAAACAGACCTAGTATAATTTTTGGTTTTTGGATTTAACTTAAATATTGATAATTTTATCTAAAAGTTCAAAAATAAATAAGATATCCTTAATTCTTGTTTGCATTACGTTTTCATTTACATATATTAATATTAGAAACTGTACACATAAACTCATTGCTAGTCTTAAAATTTACTAAAAACTAATATAACGTTTCCTCCGTCGTATAAGATTCGTTTTTAGCAATATTTTTGGGAATTACACATTGTTGAAAATAATTATAACATCGTATACATTGATTGAAAACTAATTTGGAGAGTTTTTACATAAAACAATAATGTATTAGGAAAAATATTACACAATAATTTTTATCCTCATCTTCAGAGCTAGACAAATTATCTGAAATCTCTTCTGTATTTTAATCAAAGTCATTGCTTTTTTTAATTAGTCTTGGATATTTATAATTAAAATTTATTACATATTTCATTTGAAATCAGGTGCGAGAGTAAAAACATAAAGTAACAAATTCTGTCCAATAAAAATTCTAACTGAAATTTAAACATAACATATAAATGTAAATAATTTATGAATTAAAAATATTTCTAAAATTATTAATTTCTTACAATGATATTTGATAGTCAAGATAACGGCCGGATAGCCGAACAGTTAAGATAATAGCCAGCATATTCGTTAACTGCAATCGTTTTAGCAAGTTTTCTCTTTTTACAGCAAAAAAGGAGAATATTTGTTAAGCACTAAAAGTTAAAAATATCACAAAAATGTATATATCTATACTGTATTTAATTTCAAACAACCATAATCGTCACTTACGGTTTTTTTAATAATATAATTTAAGTTCCTAAAACACGTCGTGAACAAAACGGTGTATATCGAATATCAATTACTCACAAAAATAATGTATTATGCGAGAGATATGGTACATTGCAGACTAACTAAAAACAATTTGTGTGGAAGTGTCTAGTGTACAATAACAAACTATTTATACGGAAGTGTCGCTACTTGTTATACTTTCAACACCTAGTATAACAAGGTGACGTCCGGATGTTTCATTGGCTAAGACTTCAGTCTACAGCTCTGAGATCGAATTTGGACTGTTGAAAAACCCAGAGCGATCTGTACCTAATGTGTCCAGACACGACCCATACAGTCCAGCAGCCCAAATTGTGGATCTTGCGAAACCAAGGATAGGGAATAGTAAAACAACCCTATTTTAGTGCCCTCGATAAACAAAGCAAAAAAAAAATCACCAGCTGCCATATTGCAAACATGATGAAATAGACGATGAGCACGAACAACTTTAATGATCTTAGGTGAGAGTTAGCAATACTGAAATACGAGCGAGATTTGTGCGCAGATAATTTCTTACCGTACTAAATTCCCAGAGATTTAACAGAAAACTTCATCACAAAACGATTATTTATGCAAATGTCCGAAATTTTATTTAATCGATGCAAGTTGTGATTTACAGAGCCCCTTCGGCTGCCAATTTAGTTTTTTAGTCTTTAAAATTGGCGTTTCCACTTCCCGGGAGAAGACCCAGGGGTTCTAGTCTATTTGTGGGAAGCGAGTGTTCGGATTGTTTCATTGTGTCGAATTACAGAGTACGAGGCTCTTGACATGTAAACATCAAGCGCCTCGTACTCTGCATGACTGCGAGAATTCGAGTAAAGGTTAAACGGTTTATATCTTCGTGTACAGTGATGTTGTGTCCGTGTATGTATGTATGTATGTATGTGTGTGAGCGAAAAACATCTTTCGGCATGTCTAAAACAGAAAAATAGTGCATTACGATACGAGAATAAGATGTATAAAGAAAGAAAACGAAAGAGTTCTTACCATCGGCGACTTCGGGAAATATTCACTTGCATTATAAACGGCCACTTGGTCTTCGTGGTAAAGTTGGGGAAAAAAGATTCTTCTCCCTCCCAAATGCTCCTACAAAACACAAAGACAATGAGAAAGCGAGAAGTTAATTTGTTACCTAAGGTCAACATATTTGTTACCTTTATCAGACAATCTTTCTTCCCTAACAGTGTCATGAGAAGAGCGAAGGTCCTGACCCAGCCTAGACTACCCTAACGGGAAGCTCGATCCTCATAACAGCTGTTTGGGAAGAGGGGTCGGCCGAATGTCGCGTCTGGTGAGTAAACGTGTCACGTCCGAGTGGTCAGAATCGAGAGTCAAATCCGTTGTCGTCGACCGAGTGTCACGTTCGGGAGACAAGTCCATGAGTCACGTCCGGGAAAAGGTGACGAGTCTGGGTGAAAAGTGTCTAATCCGGTAAGAATGTCGCATCCAGGTGAAGGGCGCATCCGGGGTAAAGAATGGGAAAATCGAAGAAGATCACCGCCTAGGCCAAGGGAACCGCGACCGTCCGCAGCAACAAAACCATATACCAAAATCCCGAAACTTGGGCGGCTCTCTCCACCGATTCCTCCACGTTCCAACTTCCTGAAGGCAGCGGCGTCCCTGTCGCGGACGAACAGGCGGAACACGACCAAACAAAAGTGTCAACTCGGACGAGCCGTCACTTTCTACATCCTCCACAGCAAGGTCTGTGGCCGGATGACCCCCGAAGATCTTGGCCAAGTGCGACGGACCCAGAGTATAGCGTCGCATAATCCCGACGCCACGTGCACTTGGAAAAGGTCTTCTTCACCCGCTGTCTCTCGCTCGTCGAACCCAACATCTCTTACAAATTACAAATGATTACAAATTGTAGCCCGGCATTGTGACGATGTCACAATAAATAATTGCTTACAGTTTATAGTTTGTTTGTGAAAACTTTGGTTTCTACTTGTAAAAATATTTACAATGAAAAACTACATTTCGACCTTTGTCATGTTATGAACCACAAATTGACGATAAATCCTTCTAAGAGCAGTGGCGTAATGGGAGCGGCAAAATTTCACAATAAATAATAATAATATTGTGAGGACCCAAACCGGGTCCGAAGAGAGGCAATTAACGACTTTTTGAATGAGTCAAGTTTCGTAGCGCGAAAGAGCGAACTTAAAGATCGGATTTAAACAATGAACCTTTTGTCTTGTTAAAAGATTTTGAACAATATATAAAGTCGAGGAATAAGAGGTTGGAGAGGAGTCGTGTTCCGACGCGACGTTGACCTCTCCCGCGCCCTTCGTTGAGTTTCGAATTGTCGCCATGTAACGAGGGGAGACCAATGGAGAGGCGACTGCGGTGGAAAAATCGATAAAACCGCGTTTTCGGAAACTTTACGAGGTCTTGGGTTTTGGTACGTAATGCTCCCCTGCTGGGATTTGGTGCTCACGCCAGAGATACAACGTAGGCTCTTTCGACGCTCGAGGAGCTGGTTTCGCTAACCCGTCACGTCCAGAATCACCGAGGTCACGTCCAGAATCATCGAGGTTCGATTTGTCCACCGAGGACATCTCTACACGTGTTGTGCGTGCCCCGGGGCCAACGTTCTCTGTGTCCAGCGTGCCGAAAATACCCAAGGACCGATCGAACAGTCGAACTTTTCCGTTTTTACTGGAACTGTTATAGTAACCCATCGTTACATAGGCTTCTGCCTGACATATTGAATTATTGTTAGAACAATTTACGTATTTTATTAAACGGTTTTATATGATAAACCTGTCTCGGTGAATCATTCTGCGCCCACAAGACAGTAATGACCGCTCGGCTGTCGAAAACACCCCACCCCAATCGGCTGACCTCACAATATCTTGAAAAATTTGAACCATTTCATTTCATATTTTTGTCGCACCAACGATTGGACCGATTGAAATGAGCACGAAATTTTTCATTACTTATTCTGTGAAGAAACTGAATTTTAGTCTTTTAAATTGAGATACCTAAATAAGGGGGCGGCGAAATTTTCCTTCGCCCCGGGCGGCTGACACCCACGCTACGCCACTGTCTAAGAGGTAATAGAGAGTTAATAATTGTGGAAAATGGAAGAAGCGTTGCATTTGCCCATCCAAAATAGACAAAGAAAACATGCCAATAAGTACAAGAGACTGATATATAGTAAATACTGTAGTTAGAAATCAAATGACTAGGCTATTAAGTTTAACATATTTAGATTTTTACAGCTATGGTGAGAAACGTTTAAAATCTACAACAGCCCTGTCGCGTCCTTTGAGATATACTAGTGATGCGACAAAAGAGGTATTTGACATTGACCGGTATCGTCACCCTGGGGATTTGGCAGTCCGCGTGTATGCACGCTCTGCAACCGTCTTCGATTCCATCCATTAGCCACTCGTAGCGAGCTATCTGACTAAGTGCATTGTTTTAAGATTTAAAAAGTAAAGAATATTTTATATTTTTTCAAATGTAGTGATATTGGACCACCGCGTCCTCCCTCAGATGCGGTTTTGTCGGTCCATGTGCTATTCATTTGCGTACGGTTGTAAAAGGGGAATAAGAAATGTAGGATTGTACAAAGGATCGTAAAACCAAAAAACAAAAAGGTGGGAAGAGGAACAGAGAGACAGGTCGGGACACGGTAGAAAGAGGAAGGGTGAAATGGTGGTCCTCGAAAGTGACAATGTTGAGTTTCAATTTTTCTTCTGTTTACAATGTAAGTACTTTTTCTTCATGTTTTAAATTAAATTGCGGCTTTTCTTACCTATCTAAACATAGTATGTATTTCACACCACCCCCTCGCCACTATCCTTACGACAAGTCGATCGCGACACATTTTTAAGATAAAAAGTAGATCTTATGTACACAAAAGTTGGCCACCCCTGCCCTAGACCATCACTGACGCGCAATAGACTGATTGCCCCTGGATGTCGGCTTCTTATAGAAACAGCTTCCCTATCATCAAATGTCACGGCACGCCACTGTCATGGTTCTTGAAACGTCGAGAAATGCAAAAAAATTCGGGTTTTCGCCTGTATGTATGGATGTTAGTGTGTATGCATGGCACTTGTGGTCACCAGTTTGTGTGAAATTAATCATTTCAAACCAGGCCACATACAATAAAAGATTAACATTTATTCTATATATATGAATTATGGCGCGACTGTACAGGTTAAAACACGGAACGATACTACACGCGTCTGGAGAGGTCCAAATCCAACAAGAATGTGTGATGTCATAGGTCAGGTTTGTTCAGTTCAGGGGTTCCCCTTGTGGCGACTTTGGGGTTTATCGCCAAAGCTGTCGCCACAGCACTATTTTATTCATCCTATTTCGAAGCTTAATAACTCATGTGCTTTTTGTCAAAAATTCCTGAAATTTTGCAGGGAGGTTTGTGTATTAGGGGGATTGATGCTATTAAATTTTGGTGGTTAAAGATTGACTGGGTGGGGAAATACAGGAGCGTGATGCGTCATATCTCGAGTAAGGTCGGTCTTAATGACGATTTTACTCGTTATTATCATTTACAATTTAAAAAAAAACCACCTCTACTCTCAAAATTAAGCCTTTTACCATTTCATAATAATTAAAAACATATTAAAAATTTTAATAAAATATCTTAACAGATGGCGCCACCAAAATTTTAAATGTTGCCGGGAAAGTTTAGCAACTCGTTGCTCATTTTGTTTTGTATTTCTCGACGTTTCAAGGTCCCTGGAGTTNGATTTTACTCGTTATTATCATTTACAATTTAAAAAAAAACCACCTCTACTCTCAAAATTAAGCCTTTTACCATTTCATAATAATTAAAAACATATTAAAAATTTTAATAAAATATCTTAACAGATGGCGCCACCAAAATTTTAAATGTTGCCGCGAAAGTTAAGTAACTCGTTGCTGGCAATTTTTTTTCTTTTTATAGAAATGAACAAATCGAGACATTTCGTGAAAACTTTTCTAATAGGAACAAAATGTTACAAATCGGGACTTACGCACCATATACAGGTCCACAGTAGGGTCGGACGGGCGATGGAGTAAGGGGCCCGACCGCCTTTGAGAAATTCCTGGAACTACACGCCCTGATTTGACCCCGGATTCCTCAGAGCAATAGGCTGATGCCTTAATTTAAATTAACCGTCTCGGCCGTTCGGCCAAACAAATATTGGTTAAAATGGTTATTATATTTTAAAAATACAAAAATTTAATATAATTCATAATATACAAAACTTAAACTTTGTTTAGAGAAAACCATGTAAAAATAACTTAAACTACATTTTAAAAATATGGAATTTGGATCGATTCGATCCGAGATTCATCGATTGAATCGATGCATGTTATGTTGCTGTTACAAAAGTTAAATTCCAATCAGATTAAAATAAGTAAACGATTCACTTGAGATAAACAAATCACAAACACTACATTTAATTTTTTAAGAAAAACACGTAAGGATTTTTGCACTGTAAATGTATAACATTATATTAATTAAAAACTATTTCAAAAACAATAATTGAGAGCTATCAATAAAATGAACATCTTTTTAACTTTATAATTTAACCCTGAATTTGTTTACTTTGACAGGCCTGACCTAAGCAGTAACCTTGAGCACAAAACATACTTATCCATTTGGCAATTTATATTCTATTAACAGTGTCAAAAGCCGAACATTCAACCGAGTGAAGCAGATTTATCCGTATAATCATGGATAAAACATTTTCTTTTTTTGATAAGGTTGAATCTCAAGAACCGATCGAATTATTTGAACTTGCAAAGGAATTTCAAGATGACAATTATCCTCAGAAAGTAAATTTAAGTATAGGAGGTAATTTTGTGGCATTTATTATAATTACAACAAAAAAAAATTATGTTAAACTAAAGAATTTTGCAATTAAATTTAGTTATTCTAGTTTATGAATTTAATGAATAATTTTAATTATCCTTTTTATTATTTAATATATTTTAATTGTTTTTTAGCGATAAAGATTAAGTTTTCGTAATCTACAAAAGTATAATAAGATTCG